CACAAAAAACCAAACAAAACTACATAGGATAAAATCACCAAAACAGTCTTCAAACAATATACAGGATTAAAAACAAGGCTTTTGCTATCCCACTGACAATACTCGTGTGGACAGAGTGATACTGTGGAATATGGAGCAAAGGGGAAAAAACCTTAGACCTTCTGAGTGTGTATAGTGTGTGCATAAAGATGAATTTTTCAGGGGAAAAAAACCAAAGCAAATCACAGTCTGATAAATTAGCTTTTGTACATTCATTATAAGAAAGGCTACAGTACTTTTTAAGCCCACATTTGGCCTAGGAAGAACGCAGTCCACCACAACCCGATCCGCACATTCTTGAAACTTTACTCTTTCAGCCATTAGTTCTTTTATTTGTATTGACGATGTCGCTTCAACGGTTGGAGTTATGTGTTTTAGACTCAATGAGGAAGCAGCGAGTGCAAAAAGTTCAACAGTGACTGTAAACAAACTAGAACCACAGTGAAGTGGCCTCAAGTGTGAGTGTCTCTGTGTGTGAGCCCTCTATATAAACTCCAAGCCCTCATATTTTACATCCCCGATCTTAGTTTCAGGCAAAAGGATGCGCCCATCAAGTGTGAAGGCCATAATGTACGTGGCAATCTTCCCAGCGTCCTCTTCAGACTTGAGCGCCAGGATGATCTGGTCATCAGTGTTGGGGACAAACTTGAAGGAGGAGAAACCGTGGGTAGGATTAAGTACACCCACTCGGCTGACTTTGATGTCGTTGAAATCTGGCGAGCAGCTAAGGACGAGGTTCGTGCCGCGTCTCTCGTCCGCCGTCTCTTCGTAGCGCTCGCTGCTCGCGCGGCGAGGAAGGAAAAACCAGCGCTGTAGGGTGTCGCTCCATGCTGCAGACTCGTGAATCAAATAGCCTGAGGAGATTCGGGGAAACACGGTAAAGAGTAAAGCACGGAGATGGAAACGGAGGCGGCTGTTAGCAAGATCAGATCTGCGTCTTTACCTGGTTGCTCTATCCCTGCGGCGGATTTCAGGGATTTGTACTTGGGAACCCAGTTCTTGTGCTGTACGTCGCCTCTGAAGCCCACGACTTTCACCCATTCTGGATTGTTGTTGACAAATTCGCCTTCAGTGGTGGTCCACTCTTTCCCGAGACCACCAACATATAGGTGCTCGTCCTTCACTGCCAGCCATTCGGCTTTGAATCCTATCAGACGAAGGCACCATGAAAATGCAAAGCAAATGAAAAGTGGAAACAAATCATCTAAAAGATCGAACTGTTTATAACAGAGATATCAGTGCAACACCAACCTTTTGCAACGCTGCCATCGCCATCGGGTAAGATGACCCAGGGTACAGCCTTTTCTCCATCTATATGGTAGACTACACCCGTTCTGTCATCGACACTGTAAAGCTTCCCATTGAACACCACCAGCTCAGACAGCTCCATGCCCCTGCCTTTCTCCGACAGGTGGCTTTCCAGCACCACCCTGTCAACATCCCATTCAACGGCCACCTTGTCACCGCTCTCTGACACCAGCAGGTACCCCCGCCGCATGTAGCTGATCCACGTCATCTTCTTGTCGCTGAGAGAGCTGGTGTCCAGGTCAGCGATGACGCCGATGCGATAGCGGGTGCCCTTCGACGTGCGCTCGGGTGGACTGAGCGGGTAGGTGTCATTGTACTGCAAATCCGACTGGTGGCCGTCGCTCGGGTTGACTCTCCAGCTGCGTGAGCCGTAGGAGCGGTACCGTAAACCCGAGCTGAAGTGCATGAAAAGCAGCAGGATTAAGGCCACAGAGCCAGCTACTGCCACGATGGGCCTCCACTTAAGGCGGAACCGGGGGTCGGTGGCATTGGCCATGGAAGCCAACATGGGGAGGCCTCCTACGGAGATACGCAGCGGGTTCATAGGCTCATTATGCTCAAGTCGAGTATAGCCTGGAGAAGCAGGCATGGGGGAACCAGGCTTGGAGTGACCTACAGAAAAATAGAGAGAATGTGAGTTCACTGTCAGAGAGGCCACTGGAAAATACTTCAGTCTGGTTCTCTGGTGTCAACATGGAGGTTATCGGAGATCCTTTTTTCAGCACCAAGCCACAGTGAGGTCATCCATTCACATAAAGTTGCTCTAGCCCAGGTGTGTCGAACTCCAGGCCTCGAGGGCCGATGTCCTGCAGGTTTTAGATGTGTCCTTGATCCAACACAGCTGATTCAAATGGCTAAATTTCCCCCTCAACATGTCTTGAGGTTCTCCAGAGGGCTGGTAATGAACTAATCATTTGATTCAGGTGTGTTGACCCAAGGTGATATCGCAAGGTAGTTAAAACACTACTTTGCAAAATGACAACGCAAAAGTATTAAGAAAAAAATATTCGAAAAACGACAATTAGTTTTTTAACCAAAAGGCTCATTTTCGTCATTTCTCTTAATCCACAAATGAGAGAATGAACGCAATTAAAATAATTAACTTCAACTTACACACTTCCATAAGCGATGGCAGGCAGATGACTCATTTCAGGTTATAGCTTCATTCTTTTTTTTTGGTTTAATTATCCTACTAAGTGTTAGAGTCAGAGCGGAAAAAGGGAGCACTGGTTGAACATTGATTGCTTAGAAGGAGGAAGAAACCGCTCTAGGTGAATATCAAATACAAATACAGGCCGTCAAGCGCCCGACAATGAGTCTTGTCGACGTGGTGATGGGAGGAGCTTGCTCTGAGGTAATAAGAGGGCGGCTGAACAAGTTATTCAGGAAGTACACAATCACTGAGCAACTGTCACACTGATGAGCCGTCACATGTAGTGTAATAATATGGTAAACATGAGTGTTGAAATGTACAGTGGCCAATAATTCAAACTATCTATTGATTTACTGCAGAAAGTCCAGCCGCTTTAAAGATATATTCAGACATCTTCTGTCATATCTGAATATATCTGATTTTTTGTGTGCGTGAGCCGTTGTTCAAATATATAAAGATGGCTGAAGAAGGACAGAGAGTACAAATTAGTCATTCAATAAGCTGTCAGAACACTGAAAAATCCTGCCCTACCAGCTGTCCAAAAGCCCATTGTATTCATTAAAAATATATAAAATAAAGATTGTTACAATTGGATTAATCTGTCAGGACCTTCTGTCCCTTCTTCCCTGTTTTTATTTCAGGTAAATCATCCAAACTTGTGAAGTTTTCACCCCTTTTTGAATTGCAGCGTCCTAAATATTTTGTTTTCGGATAAAACACGTGATAGTGAGATAACAGATAAACAGCGGGATTAATTGGGAATAATTTAAACAACGCATTTTTATTTTACTTTACAAGCTCACGTAGAGCTGAAAGGCCTGTAACTTGGGAAAACTACATTCCTGTTATTTGCTTACACACCCAATAAACTAGTGCGTGTGACCTTTCAGCTGAATCAACACAACCCAAACACAGCAGTGGAACTGTCCGCTGTTAGAGGGTCTCCTGAAAAGCGCTGCAACCCTAAAGCTCCTCTGAGCCCAGCTGCCGCAGGATCATACCCCGAAACCTGAACGCGTTTCTTAAAGGGGAGCAGGAGCTGAAAGGCTCTTTCATACGAGGGCCCTGAGCCAAACAGCCGTCCGTTGTGGCAGCAGCATCGGGTCTCCCTCTCTGAGGCCCGCCACTGTACCTAAACTCAGTGAGTAGCTGAGAATAGAAACAGTGTTGCTGATTGACTGTTGGTGTAAAAATTGCTTGTGCCCCACAACACAATCAGATGACGCAGCTTACCCCTTCGTCTCCTCCTGCCCGCACGCTGATCCTGTGTCATTAAGTTTACTCCACAAGTCCTTCCACAAGTAGTCCTGAGCTCGAAAGCTGTCTTTCTCCCCACTGATCATTTGCACTGCAACCATGACTATGTTGTTACAAAGCTTGTGAACTTTACCTACACTTGGAGGATTATCACCAAGTCCAAAGGGGCAAAGCCTTTTGAGAGACAACGCAGTTCATTCAGTTTGTTATTAATCACCGCCTATGAATGAACAGGTACCGAGGGTTACGAAAACCTTTATTAAGTGCTCAGCAACTATCGGCATAAAGGTGAAAAGCCACAGCCCTGGACATATGAATAGAAGTTAGCTGCAAACCTACAATCAGAGGCGTTCCTGTGATGTAATCATTACACTGAGGACTGCGAGCAGCATAGTCGCACAGGAAACCTCACTGACTCTGAGACGCAGTAATGTCTGTTAATAAGTGATTAACACCTTCTGGACTTTAGTTGGAAACATGTTAAGAGCACAGACAGCTTCTTAAAAAGCAACCTTTCAGCTTCTCAGCCCGATACTTTCATGTTTCAGATTCCCCACGCAGTGAAGACAAGACTGCAGCGCTGGGTGATAAGAAGACTCTTAAAAGTTTGGGATGAATTTGAAATAGCCTTTGTTTTTAAAGAAAAGCACAGACGTTTCCCTCTAATATAACACTGAACTGCTTAGAATTGGCATCCTAGCTGATGGTGATGATGGTGAAAGGCTGCTCATCGGAATGATCACGTTCCACTTAGTTAAAAAGCTGACGGCATTTCTCCTAAAATGAACCAATAGATTTGGCTAGTTGTGTCTGCAGCTGCACCGCACCTCAAAACAACCGTTTGACAACATCAAACAAGCAAAATTAAAAACGTAAGAGTTCAACCTGAGCATCAGAATGGGGAAGAAAGGTCACTGAAGTGCCTTTCAACTTGGCATGGTTGCTGGTGCCAAACTGATCATTTTTCCACACAACCATCTCTAGGGTTGTGATCCCTAGAGGATGGTCCACAAGGGAGAAAAATACCAGTGAGTGGCAGTGGGTGGAAATGCCTCTCAGAGGAGATTAGTCTGGGCTGCTTCAAGTCGTTAAATGAGCACTTATTGGAAGCAAGGTATGCATGTCTGAATGCACAACACATTGCCCCTTGAAGCAGACGGGCTACAGCAGCACAACAAGTGAGATGAAGACTCCAGGAACACTTGTGGCCTTCATCAGGGTCATTCAGGCCACAGGCCGAAATGTGTTGGCCTGCTAATAAAGTTGTTCCCTAGTGTCTCATGTGTTGCTGGAGTCTTCACCTCACCAGGTCCATAGTGTGCCATGGACCTCTTCACGCACCTTGGAAGTAGGTGAAGTTGTGCCAGAAACGTTTGGATCTCTACAGCAGCAGAAGACCACACCAGGTGTCTCTCCTGTCAGCCAAGAACAGGAAACTGAAGCTACGGTTTACACAGGCTCACTAAAATTGGATAATAGATCAGAAAAATTACAATCAGACACATTATGGTCAAGCATTTTAATCTGTGTTTGCAGGTCTCTAAGTTACTTGAATAATTTAAAGTTCTCTAAACCCACCCCTGCCTGGTAGCAACTGTACATAATGTTGAATGAGTGTCCTTTCAAGCGCCTCTCTGACCATAAACTTGCCTCTGTGCTCCCATAAACGATGCCATCTGGTAAGGCTGACCTTCAAAGTGTGTGTGAGGCCAATAAACACTTTTACTGAGTACTTTAACTCGGGTTTTAAATGCCCTGCGTGTCAAGGAGCCACAAACAAATGTGCATCACACACTATGGACCTGATGTTACGTGGTTGCGCTGTCTGCAGATTCCCAGAAGATAACAGAAGCTGCGGGTGAACCAGGACAATACCCAAGTTTTTATTTCCAGGCCTTTAAGCGCTGAGACACTAAACCTGTAAGGGAATTAAATGTCTGCCGGACCATCATAGTTGATTTTCTCGGTGAAGAAGGCGAAGCTTTTGCACTGACACACGCGATCATCTCATTTGCAAGCGTGCTTTTAGCTGCTGTGGCTCTCTCCTGCCAGGAGCGCAGAGGTTAAAACGCAGATGCCGTCAGTAACGGCCACCTGAAACGTTTCCGATCAAACCCCTCCTCCCGCTTCGTTACTCACCGCAGATGTGGGATCTTCAGCTCTCAGTCCGCCGGTGGTCGGAGCTTGGATGTCATTATTGTGTCGCTTCCTTCCTCGGCCCCTTTTCCTCTTTTTGCGTTGTCCGGACAGCCGATCATTACTTCCTATGTCAGTTTGATGACGACAGCACCATGTCGTGCTTACGTGTAGTCGATGCAGAGGGAGGGGGGAGAACGCTGCCTTCAGTGGCCGTCGGAAATATGATAACTTAAAGTTTCAGCCTACCTGTGAGAATTATTATACTTTTATTATGCTTTATGGATTTCTTTAGAATTTAATTTAGTTTTACATACATTAAATAATGCAAAGAAAGACCAAAATTTAAACATGTCTCACTATTGGTGAAAAAAAAAAACAGAATAAGGAATACAAGAGACTTTGAGAGGTTTCATTTATCTATTTAAATATTGTGTGTTGTGGATGTTATTTTTTACGATGCATTTTAGAATCTTTTTTTATGTTATGGGTTGTGTGGCTGCTACCTTGGCCACGAGATCACATCTATCTTTGTTTCTTTTACAGGTTGTGTTTATCACATTTAAGAAGTTCAGAACATGTGTCACATACACACTTTGCTCAAAGGTATAAAGGCTTTATACCTTTATGCCTGCAAGCCTTTATGATAAAGGCTTACAGTACTGTAAGAGATAAGCTACTATTCCATGTTTATTATGATTCATATTATTGGATAGAGAAGACAGGTGTTAGAATATGAGCATTCACTCTAGATTTTGTGTAGATTTCTCAAATAAAAGTATAACCGGTGTCTATTTAAGTTTGTTACAATGAAAATTCTGCCGTAATTAAGACAAAAACCTAACTTTTAATATATTTCTTTGCTTTATTGCAGTTCATTTTTAATTGATATTTTTATTTTATCCTGTTTTAAGCCTTACTTTTTAAAAATCCCCTTCAGGGTTGCATCAGGAAGGACTACTGCTGTAAAACTCAAATCAAACGTGGAGCTTCCCGTTGTGGTCTCCTCTTAAGACAAGGGAGCAACTTTCACTTCTACTTACTTTTATTTTAACCTATAATGCATTACTCAAATCTTAGTACCTCAGTCGTTGTCTGGATCCTGCTGTCTCCACACCTCAAGTGTTCCTCCACATTTACTATTCAAATATTTGACAAAGGGGCAGAGGCTTGAACTACACACAGTCTTGGCTTTTTCTTTTAATGAAGTCTGACTCAGAGTTTTAAAACCTGTTTTTATTTGGCACACTCCGTCTGATACAGGATCACTGTGCAAGGCACTTTAATGAGGAACATTTGCAAAGCGGTGACAAAGCAAAAGTGCAGAGGAGAAGAAAAAGCAAGGGGGAAAAAGTAATGTGGAAAATGATTCAATTTGATTGTCATGTACCTGAATTTAACAGTATTAAAAAAGAAAATAAATACCAAATTTGCCACAACATCAAAGAATTGCTAAACCTATGGCTGAGACATTTATGGCATTGATTACTTTAAAAATCCTAAGCAAAGAATTCAACAGAAGAATCCAATATAAATCAATTAAAACACCTGTAAAAGCCAAACTATAAAAAGAAACGAATGTGACAAATTAAAATGTCAAACAGAAACAAACTGAGTTTTTCAGTGCATGAAAGCCTATTTAGTGGTTGATTACTTAATAAAAAGACACAAACACGTGGCATTACAGTAGTTATAGACTTCCGATACTTCTGATCTACCAACTAATTGAATAATATGAGTTTGCAATGTGGTGAAAGAGCAGTATACTCAGCTGTATGTTTGAATTGCAGTTATTGAAGTAAACACTAAACAGTTACATATTCAGTAAAAATTTTCAATGCAAACCAGATTTCCTAATGAACTACACTAAGTCTAACCTTTCTGATAATTAGTGCTTTGATAGGAACAGCAGCAAACTGCACTCGCAATAGTAACTAAAGGAGGCACTGAAAAATCTGCAGCGGTTTTGGTACAAAGGCAACTCAGGCGTGGCCATGCTCTCTCTCTCATTTTTTTTTTTTTTTTAACCAAGACAATCACCTGCTAGCAAATAAAAGAACATCTTTAGACTTTACCCGCTGTGAACAACACAGCAAAATTTCCACCATTGCAGGAAACTAAAAAGATATCAGTGCACCCAGAAAACCAAACGCGTTCAGCAGGAACAGAAGGGGGAGTGCACAGAATGGTCCGGCTCTGTAAAAGAAACAACTGGCACACATATTTAAAAAGAAAAACTTCCTCATTTGATTCCTGCCTTTGAATCTTAGTCTTTCAATAAGATGGAGGCTGATACGCTCCTGGAGTCTCCTGGGTGTTGGAGAAAGGTGACTGCTGATAGCCAGAGGGCCCGCTGGTGCTGGAGTAGGGGCTGCTCTGGTAAGGAGCATTGTGGTCGTTGGCTGGGTCTCTGTATTCCTGCTCGAATTCATTCACTCCTTGGCGATACCTTGCAAGTGCAAAGTAGGTCAAAAGGCTCTGTAGAGAGAACTTTGAATTAGTGCTAGGATCTTTTATCACAGCAAATTCAAAGCTAATGCGAACTCTGCCTCAGCCTCACCCAGGTGATGATCGAGAAGAAGGAGAATGCAATGACACCTCGGGCAGCGTCGGCCACAACTTGTTTGTTTGTCGTCTTGGACCACAGGCTCGTCAGGACGCAGAAGCAGATGAACCACAGGAACGTCCACACCGCTGTCAGGTGTTCACAGGAGAGAAACATGTTTCATGTGTTAACTTTAAGTCTCACTTCCTGATTTATGGCACAGTTCCTTCATTAAACTATGTGGTGAAAAAATGAAAACCAACTCTTACCAGAGAAAGCAAGATCACTTATTACAATGTGTTTTCGGTCTTTGGCATTGCTGATGTTCGGGAAGTAGGCATCTAGCATGAGGAACAAAACACAAGCCAAGAAGGCCAAGACTCCGACTCCCACCCCGTAACTGCAAGCACTGTCAGAGTTGTGGAACATGCACTCGTTTTCATCTTTTTCCTTCGTGTTGGTGTAGCCTTCGGCTGTGATGGTTGCAAAAACCACGATAGAGAATATCTGCAAAGACGGGACACAAAAAGGTCAAGGCCAAGTTTAAGCCACGCAGCTATGGAGTTTGCGAAATTACCATGACTCACATTACAAGAAAGCTTCTTTAATCAAAAAAATAATATCTGTCAATCCAATCTAAACAAGTATAACGCCACCTTTTCAGCTATTCGTGACCCACATCCCCTTTTTCATAACACAGCTAACATGAAAAACATTACACAATTACGTGACACAAAATGAAAATACTACTTTTAAAAGGCAACCGAATCACCGAGTCACTGATCACTCATGTTCTAGCTTCTTAATTCATGAAGACTTCATGCATTTTGTATGATTTTGAACAGGTTTTAAGCATTCTTATAAATACTCTACATGAAGACATCTGAAGAGAATATGAACTTATGGACAACCATTTGCCTGCAAAACCATGTTGGTTTTATTTATAACATTTGAACACTTAAACTTTCCTACATTAGTTATTATAGTTTTGTATTCTTTTGAATTGTATTACATAGTGACTTTTCATTTTTCTTTCAGTTTAGTTTCAGTTAGTTTCCAGACTGGATTGACTTATTGCAGTTTACTTTATATTGTTTGAAAAGGTTTTAGTTTAATATTTATAAATTTCAGTGCTAGTTTTAGCCTTTGTTTTGATTATTATTGTATGGAGGGTGTATGTCAGAAGAGAGATTTAGGAAAATCAGTGCAGTAACCTTTTGAAAACAGTTGATTCATAGTTTTAGTTAAATAAAATATCCTTGTTTTCTACCCGTCTTGTTCACAGATGTAGGTTTTCACTAATAGGCCCACTGAACTTAAATGCACTTACCGGAAAGCAAATACTGTAGCACAACTTTTACTTGTCTGTTTTCTGTTAGTATTGCTTTTTTTCTTGCAAAGCACTGTGAAGGTATGCTTTAGTAACACTGCATACTTAAGCTTCCACTGCAGTGCCTGCAAATTAAGCATTTCCAATCACCTGACAACTGGAGTTGACTTGACAACAGATGACGGCGGAAGCTTCAATTTCTGACAATTATCTAAACTATAAAACTACAAGAAAAAAAGCAAACAACTCCTGTTGTTTTAACCTGTCTCGTTTTTAAACCACGGGAACACAGAAACTTTAAATTAAAAGTCTGCAGATCGCTTATCATCATGTGGCAGTTAGTGTGGTGACACAGCACTGGTCAGTTGCTAGTTATTATTAGCTACCATCAACCAGAGCCACAGAAACACCTTTTTTTACACTTTACTGAAAGCTCATTAAAATGTTTAAACGTGACACTCAGATAATGTCCCGCGTTGACCGCACAAAAAGCTAAAAAAACAAAATTTTCACTAATTTGGGTGGGCGCTGGCAGCGCACATCTGTTAAGCTAAACTCAGTGCAGTGACAGCTGGCTAACTGTGATGCTAACGTTTCCGTGAAGTCACTCACCCAGCTCAGGAAGCGCAAAATAGTTTGAGGCTGTTTTAGAAAGTTCGCTAAATCAAAGGCGCCACCGGCCAAAGAGGCCCCGTAAGCACTGTTCTGCATTTTCCCCGTGAAGAAAACCCCGACAGTCAGACAGTTTAAGGACAAACTGACAAGTCTTCCTATCACAACTGCGGCAGTTTCGATTTGTCAAAAAAACTTCCTCAAAACTTTTTTAACGCCGCCCCTGCGGCGATGCGTTCACGGGACCCCCGGAAGTTTAAATCCTCAACGCCGTGGATCTTACGGAGGCCGTGTTATTATGTAAACCTTGCTTTTACCGTGTTTGGTGTTCAAGGCCCCTTTTCCCACCCAGAACTGCTTTAATTCTTCATGGTACAGATTCAACAAGGTGCTGAAAAGATTTTAGTGCATATTGACATGATAGCATCACACAGTGGCTCCAGATTTGCAAGCTGCACATCCATGATTCGGATTAACCAATCATGTGAACGATTCGAACACATCCCAAAGGTGCTCATTGAGCTAAGATCTAATGACTGTCGAGCACTGAATGTGAGGTAAAGAAACCAGTTTAAGATGTTTCTGACCTTTACCTGTCAGAAGATGGTAGTCATAAAGGGATGGACATGGTCAGCAAGGTTATGGCATTTAAATGATGCTCAGCTGCTGCTAAGGGGCCCTAAATCTGCACAAAAAATAAAATAAATAATAATATCCCCACACCATTACACCACCGGCAGTAGCCTATACCACTGATACAAGACAGGCTGGGTAGACGCTTTCATGTTCAGAAATCAAGAATCATCAGTCCAGGTAACAGCTGTCTCGTTTTCTTGAGCCTGTGTAAATTGTAGCCTCATCCTCACGTTCTTAGCTGAGCTGGCAGGATGCCCATGGGGTCTTCTCCTACTGTAGCCCATCTATGCCAAGGTTCAAAGTGTTGCGTGCTCTTCTATATACCTTAGTTGTAACAAATGGTTATTTGAATAACGTTTGCCACAGATGAGCACAAAAAAAAATCCCTCATCAAAAAAAAAATCTAATAAATTTTTACACAGCTGCATATCTGTTACATGCTGATTTTTTTTTTCATTTCACACAAACACTCATAATCAACAGATTTCTACTAAATTATCACTTCACACTGAGATGAAAAAAGAAACTGTTTTGCAGAGAGGGCAGGATCAAGTGTCCCTGAACCCTTCCTTAGTTCTACTGCAATAGTGCTAGGGTGCTGGGGGCTTTCTATGATGCAATTAGTTTTCCGTTTTCAGTCACCCATGCACCTCTTTGCATTTAATCATTAGCTATTTTGATTGTTATATAATAATAGACAGAAGACACCTGATTGTTTTGGGGTTCTCTCTATTATTGCAGGTCTTTACCTTACAATATAAAGGCAATTGTCATGATTTGGTGCTATATAAATAAAACTGAATTGAACTTAAGAGAACAAAAGGGCAAGTATTTGAGCACCACCAGGAGTCTATCTGTCTATCAGCTCCAAGCAGCCTGGATATTCTTCTTTGGCATCAACAAACAGTGCTGGGGTCTTAACTCAAAAACGAATGCATACACCTGCGCTTTTGTGCAATAAAAATAAAGATACTGTTCACATCTCCACTCCTCCCCTTTGCCATCCGTTGACTGTAGTGCAAGTGCACAAGGAGAAAAAGGCATGTTTGATTTTTATGTTTTATTCCTTTGCGCCTTTGTAACGGAAGTAATGACATCACTTTAAAGTGGTTACTGAATTTAGTACAGCATTACATTATTACCTCAGTGCTGTGTATTTATTGTCCTTCTGCATTCAGTTCTCATCTGATCTCTTCCTTTCGATAATTAGCTTATTTTTGCAAGGTTTGTGCTAGTCCCTCAAATTCACTACACCAGAGTGAGAACGGTCATTTCTAAAACAAGCACAGGGCTGGAAATAGCCATTTAACCATGAAGTAACCAATCATAATACTATTCACTCACCCACTCATAGGTAACCAAAAGGTCACGCACATTGAAACAAATTACAAAGCACAAACTATTTGCCAACAATGGTACAAAAATAATTATACAAGAAACAATGACATATACTCTCAAATGCATGAAATACAGTACTACAATACATTGGTTTTGCCTTTATTTCAACTCATTTAGCTTCCTAATATAATGTTGTAGTTTGTTATTATGACCACTGGAGGGTCAACCATAACTCAAAATACTCATCTTATTCTTCCAGATGTCTTGAATGCAAATACAAATGTTTCCAGTGGAAAAAAATGAATTAGACGTATTTTCTATTATTGCTGTTGTGATTGTGTTACAGTTATTCATATACTTTGTCTCCATACAAAGAATGGTCATGAAATGTTATAGCAAACAACTGAAAGGAAACATTTATGTCTTTAAAGAGTCAAGAAAGACTAACCTAACCTCCTCCTCTTTGCTCTGTATTCATATTCAAATGATTAAAGAAAAAAAAAGAGATCGTAAATCAGGAAGTTGTTAATACCCCAGCGGCTATGATAAAGGTTGTGGCAGGATGTCACAAGTAGCAAAGCAACACTGTGAGGTTATCAGAGAAGAAGTTAGACAGTGTGACAAAATAAAGCATCATACTCATTTGCAGATAGTTTATTTTCAGAAGTGCAACACAGCACTGCTCCACTACACAGCAGACTCGTGTTTGAGATAAACGGTGATCATCAAAAACCATGGATTACAATGTGAACATTTGTGAAACAGATATCGACTACGGTAAGTCTCTTTAAAAAAAAAAAAACTATTTATATATTTAAAAAAAAAAAAAAGAAAAAAAAATATATATAGTTTTTTAAAAATATTTTTCTGTGACGTAAGTAAGTAATAAAGATGTATTTCTATAGCACCTTTCCAGGTAAAATTACAAAGTGCTTCACTTCAAATAAAAATAGCAAAAAGGGGGAATAGACAATGAGACACAATAACATGCTACCTAAACTCTAGTTTGCAGTTTATTAATTTGGTTTGTCAGAGAAAAAACATAATGAAACTGTTACCACAAATCAACATTAATTAGATTAGGGTATTTCCTGTAAACATGTTATTTATGCACTAGTTTGCCTATAAAAACACATAATTCACATGTTCAAGGCCTGGGATAATAGGTGATGCGTTTAATGCCAGAGGAGTGCCGAGTGTCTGTTTTAACCAGGAACACACATTTTCTCTAGTACAATTTAAAAATGTCTTGTTACACAGCTGATACAAACAACGCATACGAGCCTGAGGAGCAGAGCTTTTTCTAATCCGAACATTTTTTAAATAATCCAATGGAAAGTCTTTTACAGACGTAGCTAAATAAACAACAAACACAGACAGGCTCCTTTTGTTTTACTTTTAGTAGCCTACATGTCCAATCTGTTTGGCTGCTGAAAGTCAGTCTCAAAGTTAATATTTGCTGCCTCGAATCCAAATCTCACCTGTGTGGGGTTTGAACAATCAAAGTCTATGCTGTACAGAGGGCACCGTGGGAGAGAGAACATCTATTCAGAATTTCCATTTCCAATGATTCTGGGAAATAAAGCAGTCAGCCACTCACAGGTGTTCAGGTTTACATTATACCTTCCGTATGCAACGTACGCCAAAACAGCCTGTTGAGAGAAATTTGAATTAGTACATTAATTGTTCGCACAAGAGATTCCAAACCAACTGTGAGTTGTACGTCAGACATACCCAGGTGATGATTGAGAAGAAGGAGAAAGCAACGGCAGCTCGGGCAGCATCGGCCATGACATATTCGGAGTTAGTTCTGGTCCACTGGTTGAGCAAGACACAGAAACAGATGAACCACAGGAAGGTCATAGCCGCTGTCAGGTGATTCAAAGCAGAGAAACAAATTCAGGGGAAAAGATTACAGCTGATGAAAGCTTCAAGTTATGACAGGCTGCACTTCCTTCTTTTCTACTCTTTTGTTCCTTTAATGAACTAAATGGCATAGCAGTTAAAGCTGACTTACCGGAGAAGGCCAGATCTCCTTTGACAATGCGATCTTTCGCTGTGGCACTAGAGATCTTTGAAATGATGACGTCCAGGATGGGGAACACAACACAAGCCACAAAGGCCAGGACTCCAACTCCCACCGCATAGCTGCATGCGCATTCATTGTTGTTAAACATACAGGTGCCATTTGTTTTACTCGTGGGGCTATAGTAGCCTTGGTCTGAGATGGTTCCAAAAACAACAATGGCGAATACCTGCAAAGTGGAGACACTCAGGGTTCAGTCCCGGGTGAAGTTGCAAGATCATGACATTGCAACATTGCAAGATTATGAAATTGCAAGAAAGCAGTCTAAAAAAAGAAAACAAAATAGAGACGCCTTTCTGAAGAAGTAGAGCTCTGTCAACATCAACTTGCTTGCCTACACAGAATATCAAACATAAAATAAACATGTTTGACATTTGTCCGGAAAAAAGATATTCACATAGTCCTGTAGGTGGGGCACTGCTCTGGACTACAGATCGGTGATTGCAGAGAGAAATCAAACTACTAACCTTCCACCTGTTTTACCTCCTCCTGCTGCAGCCACGGCAAACACTAAATAAATATATGAATATAAATACTTTAAAGCATTGACTTCCTCGTTTGTGATAGTGTTGATTTGCATCTTTAGTTGTCAAGTTATTTTTATATAGTCAATTAGCTACGCTTAGTATTGCATGATTAAGAGAAAATGCTGCTTAAAATGTTGTGCTATGAAAAAGGAAGCGCACCTTCTCTGACTTTTAAATGTAAATTTCAACTACAGGAGCAAAAAACTTTAAAGCCTTTAAGACATGTCACTCATCATCAGGTGGCAGTGTGGTGACACAGGGTTATTTGCTACTATCGGTCGTTGCATAGTTTACATTTAATTTACAGTTAATTAAAATGTTTAAACCTGTCTACACTGGGTGTTCATGCCTCATGTAGACAGGTTTAAGCACATATATCTAAAAGCCCGCATTAGTCACTACTTTGCAGTGAGTAATGTGGCTGGCTAACTCTGATACTAATATAATGTCACTCACCCAGCACAGGGTGCGCAAAACAGTCTGTTTTATAAATCTCCTCCAATCAAAAGAATCATTATCCAATGAGGGTAGATTGCCAGTGTTTTCCATTTTACTCCACAAAAACTGCCTAGCAGACAGTTTTAAGTTAAAAAGAAAAGCCTTCCTATTACAGTTGGGTACTTTCGATTTGTTGAACAATCTTGCTGAAAAGCACCTCGTAGGTGCCGTGGAAACTGGCCTTACAACATGCTATGCATTAGTGTGAAAAAAAGAACAGGTTAATCTCGTTTGCAATGCATCTGCCAAGTGGATGAAAAGTTGTGAAAATGATGAACACGACACGCACACGCATGGGGAGATGCCAGGCTATAACTGACAGTGTTTCTACTGTGTTTTTATTCTTTTTTTATCCACATCTGCTTTTACTGCATTGTTGTGCTTAAAAATGAAGCCATTGCCAATCACAGGTTTTCCAGATTGCAGTTTTGCATGGTGATCAAAACCTGACGACACTTTTCTGTGTTCGTAATTCCATCAATTCTAGCAAAATGCCCAACACAAAAAACGGAACCTATGGTCGAGCCGCCACTGTGTTTTAGAACTCTAAACACTCATATCTGCACCTCTGTCGTTACGTCTTGCGTACATGTTAACCATGATTTGAACCAAAAACTTTCCAATCTGGGTTCATCGCTCCATCAGGCCTGCTGCCACTGATTTTCACTCCACTTCTTGTGCAACTTGGCATATCTCGGACAAACACTGAAAACATTTCTGATGAGGTTTCAGTGAATAGAAGATGGATTAAATAAAGTTTCGAATGCATCTTTTAGGTCCTGTTTTTGGTCTTACTTTGAAAATTTTTTCTATTTTTTATGGATTTTCAGATCCTGTCCATTTGCTGTATATATTATGTCCTTTTCCTTTTACGCTCGCTGCTTCTTCTTTTGTGGTCCACTTGTTCAATTTCCTCAAATTCGTAAGGACTCACTGACCAACATGCAAAGATATGCTTTTTTAAGTTTTCAGCTAATAGCTGTTTGAGCTAAAATATACAAGAGCCTAAAGATACAATTTAAAATGGTCAGTCGTGGTTGTTTTCTGAGTTGTCTTTGATGTGTAGACATAACGCTGTTTCCTCACTTGAGTTAGGGGCCATTTTTATGCATAAATGATGCAAAGTTAAGAGTTAGGCGGCGTAACAGATGAAAAAAGCACTCCCCTGAAAATAAGTGAAAAAGCAGCCAATGTCCAAAGAAAAACTCCAAAAGCTATTCATATAAAACAACATGAGCTATAAGTCCTCTTCATGTTGGTCAAAGGTTTTGGGGACTTTTGGTCATTATTCTGTTTACTCCCTTGTAGGAATCTGGCAGATGGAGAACCAGCTCAGGATTTCTCCTTCAATCCCATCAATGAGCCAGAAACCAGCACCCAAAATTGCCCTGAAATACTGGAGATGGAAGTCTTTAAAGAATGCACAGGTACAATGACTCAGTGTTTGCTGTTTACACCCCATCGAAATGTTAGAATCCAATTTCTATCTGTAGTTTTATTTTTGATCTACAGATTATAAAACCTATAAAACCTATCATTTCGTAGATGTACAGTCAAACAGAAGCAGTTACACGAGTGACGAATCACACGACAGAGAAGAGATCAGCCATCTGCAGAGACACGGCTGGTCGGCTGCAACGGTAAAGGTGCTCGCCTCGATGCCTAGTCGCACTGCAGGTGAGGGGAAAATCTCTCCGTGCTGTCTAAATGTTTGCTAGGATTTATTCACACGTGTTAACTACGACATTTGTTCAAAACGAACTTCCTCATCCACACAGAATTAAATAAATCCCGGCGAGTGCGATATCAGGCCTCATCCCATGAATCTCCTCACCTCTCCAGACCAGTCAAGGGTGCCTCTGTTCTGGCAGAGGCGGAGGAAATCAACACTGAAGGTGCCATTTGCTATTTTTTTGACAGGTGTTAACAAGTGTTTTCGTTCTACTTTTAACCCTCTCACTACAGTGAGATCGGACCTCTCTTATTCCACAGATTCCAATTTGTGCGCCGCTGAAAATAATATGGACCAGCTGGTGTCCAGCCTCCAAGGCCTCTCAGTGAGCGAAGGCACCCGCAAGCTGCGAGAAATGCCACTTAGCTTGGCAGATAAGATCGAAATCCGGTATGTGAGACACAAACCACTGGCGTGACCAGAGGAGTCGTGCAATGGAAATCACAATCAGTACTTTACATCATCTTCAAGAATCTTAGAATCTATTTGGATGGCGTCTCACCATTTTTCTCCCTATCTTCTTCTAGAAAAGTTGCTTTCAGTTTAAAAACTGAAAGTTCATTCATCGGCAGAAATATACCCTGCTACACTCATCTAAGCATGTACATTTCAATGGTAAGTCCAAACAGCGTACACAGTGATAAGATTTCACCATGTGTGTAGGCGACACGCTCATGTTCCTTTCCCCTCAGACTTGGCGCCACTGCCTCTTTAGCTGCCTGCCCGTCTTCAGTTCGTTCAAATTGTGGCATTCAGCCTTGAAGACACTGAGCGGACGTTACGGAACCGGTGTGCTGTCCTACTTCCTTTTTCTGAGAACACTCCTGTTCCTTAACCTTCTCCTCTTTGTCATCACTGGCTTGTTCCTAATCATCCCACAAGCCATCAACCCTCCTCCTAGTCCTAAAGCAGACTTCAGTGGTATTGAGCTTCTCACGGGCACGGTGAGATGGCTGTACATCATGTCCCAGCTGTATTTACAAGCTTATTTCAGCGACAAAGAAACCAGAGCTATCTTTAATGTTTTCGTTGACAGGGCTACTTTTCTGACAGCTTGATGTTTTACGGCTATTACTCCAGTGAAACGTTACCTGGAGACCAATACCGAATGCCAGCAGCCTATTTCTTTACCATCGGCTTCACCCTCTTCATTATCTGCATCATCCTTGTGTACAGGTTGAACTCTAACTCAATTACTTATGCTTTAATTCTATTTTTGTTGTGTCTTTTTTTTTATACTGTTTTTTGGGATTTTTTTTGACAGGTTGTCCAAATCCTTCGGAAAAAACTTTCAAGTCCTCAAATCGAACAAGAATCTGGCTGTGAAAGTTTTTTCTTGCTGGGACTTTAAAGTGAGCAAGAAGATATCTGTCAGACTCCAGTCTGAGAAAATCAGCACTCAGCTCAAAGTACGACCTTATATGAATACTCACTGAAGCGTGAAACGTTTCTTTTGGTTCTTGTTTTGTTGAAATTATTTTTAAAATAGACCAAACCAACCAAGTTATTTAAAAAGGGTTTCTTTACACTGAATGCTCTCTTGATGATTCTTAGCAACAAGTATTTCAGTTTTTGCAGCAGTCTTTGTCAGTTTGACATCACACATAGTAGTGTTTGTGGTTATCGTTTGCTCACAGGAAGCTGATCACATGTTCACGTGTTATGTCACCCTCGGGGCCATGTCCTTAGTTTAAAAAGAACAAGCACCCTATTTGAAAGGCTTAATTTACAAATGGTGCTTTTCCAACAGGAGCAGCTGTCTGAGATGATCAAGGGAGAAGACAAAAAGACCTGCATGCAACAACTTCACCGCCTTATTGTTCATCTGTTGGCGTGGACCGCATGCTTAATAAGCATTTTCTTGGGCACCATAGGAGTGCACAACCTGTCAGGAAAAAACTTCAACGTCAAGGTACATTGTTGGGAAAAGGAAATGGTAGCATTCATGCACAGTCAAGCACCACTTTAAGTATGTAAATTTTAATTCCCCACCCACTGTGGTTAGCTACTTCTTCTTTTCTGCTAGACCTTTTGATATCTTTGTCTGTCTACTTTGTGTGATAATAAGCGCCCCCCACCCCCCCACCCCACACGCACACACACACACACACACACAACCCCCCCCAAAAAGATACTGGTGTTTCAAAGCTTTTCTGTGCAAGGACAAATAATAATAGAAATAACAGGAATAATATAGAAGTAATAAACTTTTGTGTTATCATCTCATGACTCACAAGGCTCAAGATGGTCCTGAAAACCTGCATATAGAGCACGGTGAAAAAGTACTTGCCCTCTTCCTTATTTTGTAGATTTTTGCATATTGCACACGTTTCAGACCTTCAAAGTAAATGCAACATGCAGTTTTGACATTATTTCATTTATTAGGGGAAAAAAGCTGCCAAAACCTACCTGACAATGTGTGAAAAAGTAATTGCCCCTAAACCTAACAGCTGATCATATCACCCTTGGCTCAGCTTTCTAAAGCATTCGATTCATCACAGTTAATTCACGATTTAACAAGACAGGGCAACTACTTTTTCACAGCACTGTACATACTCAAAGCGGTGTCGCCAATTTCACTCTTCTCTTTCTGAATAAGTCTAAAGACAGTTCTTTAGTAATAAATCAGAATCAGTCAACGTTAGAGAACTGCAGATTGACTTCCAGTATAACCTGGACACGTCCCCATGATGTCAAACACAACTGCAGGTAGATGGTGTAAGAGGATTACTGATACTATAGCAATACTTCATTTTTAAATATCATGGTTGTCAAGACGATCTCACTTCAGTAGCATATAATGTTTAAGCGGAACTTCATTTCCTGTTTTGATTATAACTTGTCGGTCTGCATTTTTCATTGTGATTTAGACCACTTTAAATCTGCCCAAAGACACTGAGTTGCTGGTCTTGTCAGCAGTGGTGTCGGGCATTAACCTGTTACTCCCTGGCTTCTTCAACTTGTGCGTTTGGGCAGAGCAATATGAATCACCTGGCACACGTGTCTATGTTTCTGTCTTCAGGTAAGGAAAAAAAAAGGAAAACACGCAAAAGAAGTTTTCAAATGAATAACATAGTTCAACACGATGTAAAATTATTGTCTTTGTTATGTGATTTGATTTTTATAAAGTTTAAATATTTATAATAAAGTATTTGATCATTTATTTTTCAGGAACCTGCTGTTGAAGGTCAGTGTTATTGGAGTTCTATGTTATCGCTGGCTGGAGAGCATTCCAGCCAATGGTCTGGAGGTTAGTAACATCCTCACGCTCTTACATGATTCAGCACTCAGTTACTGTATGCAATCGTTTTTATTCCTTAAAGAAAGCTTTTTGCACGCAGATGTTTAACACATGCGATATTATAGCTACAGTTTTGGAATCTGAAAGCATTTAACAT